GGGGGCGGGGGTGGGGGCGGGGGTGGGCACTGGGGTCAGGGAGCGTGTGAGGGACTGTAGGGCCTGGGGTGGGTTTTGGGGTATGGGGGAGCACAGGGCCTGTGATTGGACTGGATCAGGCCTGGCGGGATGGTTGGGCCTGGGGCAGGGAATGTTGAGGTTGCAGTGGATTAGGGGTGTAGGAGCTGGGAGGGACGTCAGGGTCTGCAGGGCCTGGCTGGGCGTGAGGGGAGTGCAGGGGCTAGGTTTGGGGTTGTGGCTGGGCTTAACAGTGGGGCTGGGAGGCAGGACATGTAGGTGAGAGAGGGGCCAGTGGGACTATGGGTCGATAGGGGCTGGGTAGAAGACATTGGTGTACACCGAGGAAGGTGCATTGTGTGTGAGGATGGTTGTGGGGGACTTGAGTCATGCCAGGGGAGGGTGAAACCTGCTAGGGAAACAGAAGCTCTAAGTTTTGCTTGAGGCTGGGCACAGCCTTGATATTGCAAGATGCAAAGGTAACACCAAGTCACCATCACTCTGTCCTTCCACGAGTCCAAGGCTATCAGTCCCTGGCACCTCACACTCAGACTGAGGCTGACATAGCACCAGTCTGCCTTTTGATCTCAATTTGATGATTTAGCAGCACTCTGGATGTAAAGAACTGCTGAATTGCCAGAGCCAGTTCCTAAATCACTTGTGTTTTTCTTGGCAGGAATAAAGCACTGCCCTGATCAAGCCTTGTTTTGATTATTAGGTCCAATGGACTGGGGTGGCAGCCCAGCACAGTTGAGAGCAGAGTTTGAAGCCAACAAATAGGAGTTACGTGCTGATGCTAGCACTGACAAACAACTCAGGCAAGTCATTTAACTTCCCTGTGTCTGTATGTTCCCATATGTAAGCTGGTCATAATAAAAATACTCATGTACATTTTCAGGGTACTTTGCAATGTTGGCTTAAATACTACTACATCAGCAGATGCTGTTATTATAGCAGCCAGGGACAGATACCGCTGTATCCTCAGAAGCCTTGTGTCATCATTGTTTCAAACTCTTCTCTTTTTTTCGCCATTGATTCATAGGCAAGCCCTTTGTATCACTAAAATCCTCACGTCCAGGGGCTGGTGCTGGTACTTCTGAATAGCAGGGGGTTACTGCAGCTTTATAATAAAAATAGGATAGCATTACACCACCAGCATCTTAAACATAAATATGGAAACGTTAATTTAGAATCAATTTTGGGATGTTTCAGACTGTAAAGTTCTTTTAACTAGATCTCTGTTGAGGACAGAGGAGCACTTTATGGGACTGTAAATTTCATGCAAACAGTCTCTGTGAAATACAGATTCCCCCTACACACTAGCTGTTCTCTCAATATCAATCATATGCCTTGCAAGTAATGTTTCACAAATATTCTGTAAATCACAGGAAAATGCTCGCAATAATGTGAAATATGACTTTCACTTGACTGTTTCACCAGAGGCCCCTAACAGGCCATTCTCCTGTCAGCACTAACATTTGTTATGGCTAATAACATTTTCAATCACAACTATTTTGGGAAAATGGATTTATTTTAAACCTGCTTCCCCGCAAAAGAGATCCTGAAAACGCCCTGCCAAGGACACAGACTCCTTACAGAGCACAGACCGTTAATTCCCAAATGAAATTTTATCTCATCTTAATTCTCAAATGTTGTTTCTTAGCCAGCTTTTTGAAGACTTTGTTTGTTTGTTTTCAGGCAGAAATACATGTTCACCTCTTGGTCATTGTTTTCAGTCTAGTTGAGATAATAGCAATAGAAAGTTACTTTTGAGCAGGTGTCTTGGGAATATTCTGGAACTGATTTGGAATTTTCCTCCAGATTCTAGGAGAAAAGGCTTAAGAACTTTGTAGATAGGAAATTGGTAATCTTAGCAACTTGTATTACATTGAAGGAAACTTCTTATTCTGAAACCCAAAGATTTTATATCCTTTTAACTTTTTTTCTCTTAAACCACACTTTAAATAAAATATAAAATGGTGCTTTTCTTGTGTAGAAAGGCCAAGAACTATATTAGGCAAGGCATGAATTCCTTTCCTACCCTCAGGCTTGCTGATACAGCTTGGTGGAGGACAACACACCTGTGTTAATGCAGCTGTCTGTGACCTTGTCCCTCTTTCTGCATCTGTGTATGTACACAGATACTGATGTTTAACTGTGAGGCTCCTTGAGATTGGCCAAACGCATACATGTCAGTGGAATTCTCACCTACCTGAATGAACAGAGAGCTTAATCCTCTGACGTTTCATCCCCCTACTAAGTGCACCTTCACTTTTGTCAAGCTGGAATAGGGGATATCATACTGAGCTAAAAGTATGACAAAGAAATTTGGCAAAATACAGATTGCTTTATTTAACACCTGTGTGAAGGGATGGAAGGAAGTGCTGGCAAGGGATGTTTCTGGAGCTTCTCTCTTCTTGCCTATAGTTCTTATAATTTCAGGTTTTCTTAGATTGTTTAAAAACATGCCATAGAAATTAGATAAGAAAAAAACAGAGCAGATGTCTGTCATTCCAAAGGGTCCCAAAGCACTCTCCTGCTGCCAAGGCCAAGCGTATCTTCCTGGAGTGGACGTGGGCCCTGTCCAAATGACTATCGCTCCATCATGTGAGTGAGGGCATGCTGCGCTGCTGTGCTAACAGGCATTTACAGCCCCCTTGACCCTGTCACTCCCCATAAATCCATACCTATTTGTGCTCTCATTTCACCCTATTTATTCTCTGGCAGGTCAGATATGAGATGCAGTGTTCATATCATGAGGCTAGCGAGAAACCAAGGCTGGGGTAATGGGTAACATCAAAATGACTTTATTAACAGAGCAGAGAAGAGAGCTCCTGTGGTGAAGCCACCTGCCTTGGAAAACAATCTCAAGTCTGTCACAGATTCATTGTGCAGCTTCAGACACACCAGGAACTCTCCTTTTGCTTCAATTTTCCTATCTATGAAATGAGTATAAAGGAAAATGAGATTAAATTAATGGCTAGTAAGTAGTAAGTAACTTTAATATTATTTGCCAGAGATTTTAAATGTGATTCTGGTGGTAATTCCTTGGTACAAACTTCTTCTATCTTCAAAGCCCTTTTTTAACTTCTTTCTCACTTTTCTCTAGGCAGAAGAGATCATGACTTCTGTCAAAGAGCAGGAAGCCATCAGGAAGCTCATGGTTTTCTTGCAGGAATGGGATAGTGCCCACAAAGTTGCTCGAAGCCGCATCCTGGACAACTTCATTGAAAGCAACAATGGCAAGACAGAACCAGAGCTGGAGCTGGAGTTCTCCCAGGGAGCCAGCTTGTTTCTGGCTCGCCTAACCGCATGGCTCAGAATGACGTATCTGTTTCCTTGGACAGCTGGAGGTGGTGTGTAGTAGTGGGATGGAGAGGAAGGCAAAGTTCTCTACCAAAAATTTGTTTAAAGAATCAGCTTCTGTATGGAGACATCCATACCCAGCCATGTTCTGCAGGGTTCAAAAAAAGCTGGCTATCTAAAGGTGGAACTGAAGGGAAAGCCATGTAACCTGTCTCAGGGACCTAGAACTAGTGGGTTTTCTCATATTGGGATGAGCATGCTGCCTCTGCCTGTCTGTGACAGGAAGGTCCATGCTTTCTTGCAGAGAGAGTACCCAGTTCAGACCTTCAGATTGTCAAAGGCAGCCTGGGGGACACCATGATGGTCTGTAAATCTCTCCTTAGCCTTGTCAAACAGCTACATGTACAGCACGTGCCTTGACAAGCTGCTCAAGTCCATTGGCATCTTCCTATCTGCTGCAAGTGGGTGAGTATAGAATGTCACTGTGTGAGAGGTGCCGTGGGGAAGGCACACAAGGATGAGGGGGAGAGCAGATAAAGAAAATAACAACTCCTTGGCCATCTTTTGCGAGGGCTGTGTAAGCATTTCAGGCAAGGCAGGCCCCAGTGAGGCTTGTGGTAAGAATTTCAAATGCTCTCAAAACCAAATCCACTGCTTGTGCATGTCTCCAGAGCCACCGGGTCACTCCCACAATGTGGAAGGTGCATGGTGAGAATCTGAGTGCAGAGACAGGGCCTTCTCTGCCTGTGGTTCAATATCTGAAATGTAGCACATGGTAAAATAGGAGCTGGTGACCTGCTGGCAGCAAAGCATGCTGCCAGCAGGCATCTGCCTTTGCGCTCCAGGCTGAGCCTCCTTGTGTTCCCTGCCCGGGCACCTGCCGCAGCGAGGCAGGACGTGATGGTTCCCAGGAGCACGGCGTGCTGACAGAGGAAGATGGGCTCCAAGGCAGGTGACACTTTTGGCTTTGTTTCCCCCTATCCTTGCAGACGCAGATACGTTATTGAATTTCTGGAGATTGGAGGTGTCATGATTCTCCTGGAAATACTAGGGCTGAACCACCTGAAAGAAGAGGACAAAAGGGAGTCTGTAAAGCTGCTGCAGCTCGTCGCAGACACTGGCAGGAAGTATAAGGAGCTCATTTGTGAAAGCTACGGTAGGTGGCATGTCCATCCGTGCTTTTTCCTAATTCAGGCAAAGATGTTCTCCCTGACCTCTGGCCCCCAGGGCTGCTTGCCTCGCTGAACCACTCCCTTCCCTCCACCTGCCGGATGGCAGATTGCCGCAGCGTTTCTCTGGCTAGAAGGAGTTCAGAGTCTCAGCTATTGTTGAGCAGTTGCATTTCATCCCCTCTCAGTTTTTAATGAGCTCGCTTTCTTTACAGTCATTTCTTTTGATGCGATATTACTATCCTGCTGGTTGCAACTGCTCCAGTTAAAACCACAAAACAGTTTCCATTCTTACCTGCAGTGTTCACCTACTGCAGACTTTCCCAGACTTCCCCTCTGGGGATAGGAGGGTTTTGCAGCTTGTATCTTTTGAAAGAGCATTACAACATTTTTTCTCCTGTTTTTTTTTTCTCCTGGGCAAAGAAGCCAAACCCCATTAGATATTCTGTAGTTCAGATTACCTGTCGGAGGCTATGGGGCGATACCTGCCATCACAGCTTCGGCCAAGAGAGATGAAGCGGCAGGATCAGCAGAGGGATCCTTAGCAGCATTGTTGGCATCCCGGTGCCGGACTCTCTGTTTGTATAAACACCCACAGAAGGGCCTTGGCCACGTACTCCAGCTGAGAATTTTGCCAACTGGTTTTCCAGTTGGTGCTGTGGCTCCTGACAAGGACAAAGAACTTTTTTCCTGGCTTCCGTTAATTGAGCCACCCTTTGAGTGGGATGTAATGCTGGGTTTTCTTGGGGGTGAGACTGAAACAGCTGAGATGGGTGACCCGGACTCATCCAGGCACACGACTTGGTGTCTCTTTCTCTGCACAGGGGTGCAATCCCTCACTGAGTTCTTGGTCACTTCCAACTCAGCAGAGGCTCAAGAAGACGTGCAGGTTCTGCTGGACTCTTTGGGCCACAGCAATCCCAAGTACCAGAATCAAGTCTACAAAGGCCTCATTGCTGTTCTGCCGTGCGCCTCCCCCCACGCCCAGAAGCTGGTTCTGCAGATGCTCAGGGGCATGCAGGTAGGCAGTGGGCCTCGCTGGGGGCGAAAGGGCAGCATTAGCTTCCCTGTCCTGTGCCAGCCTCCCTGGCGTTGGGGGCTACAGTGGGCAGCCCCAGTGCCCGGAGGAGGACAACCCAGACTACTCTGTGAAGACTGTCCCTGTCACTCTGCCCTTTTCTCCCCAGGACGTGGTGGGAGAGGTGCCCTCTGCCCTTGTGGAGCCTGTGCTGGGCGTGCTGTCCTCGGTGCACCTCGAGGTCCAGTATGAAGGTAGAACCAGTCGAGCCACCCTGGGCAGTGGCTGAGGGGGTCAGCGGCAGGCTGGGGCTGGCCTGGGCAAGTGAGGTGGGAGCATAGGGAAGGGCGGTGGGGAGCCCCCCAAAGCCCCCAGGACTACGGCCGTGCTCGGCGCTCACGGGCTGTGAACGTCTCATTAGCATGCGGCTCATTAGCATTCCTCTTATTTGCATACCCAGGGTGCACCGCGCACCGGCGGCGCGGCTCCGGTAATGTTGTCCGCATCCGCAGCTCCCGCCGGGCCGCTGGGGTCCGGGCGCGGGGCTGTGCCCGTGTGCGCCGCCGAGAAGGAGGGGGGCGAACCGGGGCGGCGGGGACCGGGCAGGGGTCGCCGTGTCCTACAGAGGGACAACCGGGGATGGCGTGTCCGTGGGGAGGAAGATGGGTATACTCTGGTTTCTCTTCAGATCGCATAAATCTTTCGCCTTTTACTAAAGATTTCCGTGGAGAGGAACAGGCACGAGTGTCGAGGAATTTTTTGAGGCTCCATTTCGGTGGAGCTGCTCTTTTTGTGGTTAAAAATAGAGCAAAGGAAGGGGGGTACAAAAACTCCCGAGGCTGTTTTGGAAGTGGAACGCAAACGAGCTGCCGAGGCTTCCTCCCGTGCGCCCGCTGGAGCTGGCTGGGGCCCAGCCCGGCTGACGGCAGCGGCGGGTCCGCTGCTCGGGCCTGCTCGCACCGACCCCAACCCCGCCGGGGGCGGCCGCCTCGCTACCCGTGTCCGGTCAAAACAGGAGCGGGCGGGGGGGCCTCGGGCCGCCCCTTGTCCCGGGCCGGGCGGTGCAGCGGGGCCGCTGCCGGGCGGCGGTTCGGGCTCCGGGAGAAGCGGTTCGCTGGGGCCCGGCCCCGCAGCGCTGTCCCCGGCGCTCCAGCCCCGCCCGGGCCGCCGCTCTT